TTAATTAAACTTATCATTTCTATAATTTATTGAGAAGATCCAATCAATATTTGCATAAAATTTGTAATATTGAAAAAACTTAAAAAGATATTGAATATTGATCTTCATATGCATATAAAATATATAATTATTGTAATTTACTTCAATGCAACCACAAGGAAAAAAGGTTAACACAGTAAAGTCAAAGTAACATTTAATATTTTGGTGACACATTTCAATCTTTCAACTAATAATATTGAGTAAGAAAGGATTTCAAATTCGTATGACAAGCCAGCCAACAATCTCATAACTTTTATAATGTGCATTAGATTTGATTATCTTTAACTATCTTTAAGTGTATGAATTTTTTTTATTTTTTTAAGCTATTAGCTAATTACATCTTTTATATATTTCAAGTATAATATGATATTACTTAATTCTTTTGCTTCATTAAGTTGATTTGGGTTTTGACTCTATGAAAATAATGCACATTTTAATAATCATTTCAAAATCTGCAATCAATATCTTATTTCAACACTTTTTTGAGACGGAATGATAATGAGATGATGAATATGTTAATTTTTTTATGATATTATTTTTTCTAAGTATATAAGATGTAATTTTTAATCTTTTCATTTTCAAAAAGAAACGTTTTTTGGAATGTTTTTCTCCACTTCAAGTACAAGAAGTGATCATGGAGCACAGTGCTCATTTTTATGACAGGAATTCCCTGGATTGAAATGAGGAGACCCTTAGATTTGTTCCTTACGTCAATTTCCCTGAATAGGATTATACCCATGTTATGTACTTGCTGTACATCACGTACATACGTATCTACATATGCCATAACTGTCCCTTTCAATAAAAAAAAGCTAAAGTTTCTGGTGTAAAGGGGATAGCTCCAATAAAATATCTATAGAGTGTCAACGATATTTGGCGAAATGTCAGTACAACGAAAGCAATGATTCAAAAGAATGAACTATTACTTGAGCTTGGGATCTTAAATATAAGAGACGAGAGAGTGAGGACTTTGACCTCATGTCTATTGTCCACAACACAATAGACGCCTATGGATTTTCACAACGGGATAAGTCAATAAGCCAAGTTGCCTGGAGTGACTCGGAAATGAGATAAATATCTATACGTCTCTAGATATTCACAGAAGTCATCCTCAAACAATGACGCTGGAAAGGACAATATAATCTGCCCATGCTTTGATACGGAGGGAGGTTTACGATGAAATGCCCGTCAACCTTTGGGTGAAAGGCTTGACGCGCACACCTTGCAGCTGATTTCTTATAAGACGGTGCACATTGGCTTGCTTTTCATGTAAGTAGGCGCATTACGAATCTTCGTTGAATTTAATTATCAATACTTTTCGACTCGAATCATCATCATTATTGGGATGGCATGTGTTCTCCCATGCGAAAGCCGCAAATTTCGAGCTCCAATGAACATGTGGGAATTGTTTTCTTCATGAAGCCATTGTGACTATCAGATGCTAAACATGCCCACACTTCTTGCCAGTGAAAGTAGGGATGATCAGGATGAGGCTAGTTTGAGTTCTCAAGGATTTGTTGCTCACCAAAAAAATCTTCCCTACGTGTGATATTCTCTAAAAAAGAATTATAGTATAACTTGTTTATTATTTTTGATTTTAATCGAGGTTACATAAAGTCTAAGTTTATGTTTTTATATTTTATCATTATCCTTTAGTCCATAGATTTAGAGATATATGTTTTCTAAATGAATTTTGTCCAACTTTGGGATTTTCACGGTCCATAGCATGTGCGTGCTGGAAAGTACGAAGAGCTCAAGTGTGATGTTATGTTGTTTCGGTACTTTTCATCCTCGCATGATCGTTCAAAAGTCCATGTGGATTGGTGTGAAGGCGATGCACTTTGTATTTCATTTTTACCAGTGGTATTATCTGCTTGTCGCATGCATAATGCATGTCGTGAAAGTATGGGCAGATTGATATTTAGAGATGAAAGAAGTGTCACTTTAATGAACACTTTAATGTAAACTTTAAGTCACTTTAATGAACACTTTAAGGATGAGTTGTTGAACACTTTAATATTCCTATAGAACTAAAATGTATATTTAATAAATTTCAACTTCTGTTATTCTATCTCACATCAATTTTAAAACATATACAATTATATTCTTAACATTTATATTCATTTTTATCATAAAAAATTAATCTTGAGCTGCATAAAACATTACAATGAATGACTGAAAGCAAGCTTTCGGAATCGTTTCTTAATTTGAGAGTTATAATTTTATATCATTTCCTGCAGTTTAGATTTGGTTCTCATTCGGAGGTGAATTTTAATATTTTATTTTCTTGTCAGTGTTTGAATATCAGACTTTTCTTACACATAGAAACCTATATAAATATAAATAAATAAATATATATATATTGATTGTGTGATCTGTAGTTAGATTTTGTCAGGTTTATTATCTCAATGAATACATTATATTACATAGAGATAATATGTTAAAATATTAATATTATTAGGTAAAAAATAAACTTTTCTTTTAATATATGAAACAGTAATTTTCCATTAGATTGTTGTTTCATATGATTTTAAGAAATCGACCATAAATATGATCAGTAGACTAATTACTATGCTGGAAAATTCATTTTTATTGCCATTAATAATACTAGTGTCCTGAATGAGAATTAGCATTCTCAATGCTTTTTTTCAGACAGTGGACATGACTCAACTGCCTCAACTCAAGAAAGAACTACAACTGCGTTAGCCAAGGAGAGAATTGCCGGTAGGCGGTCGGTCCTTTACCTCCAAAACTTTAGCTCGGGCAAGAAGGTCTAGATTTGCTCTCGATTAAAAGAAAAAGCGACGAGAACGAGCCGTAAAACTTGGTTCTCTAAAGCCGAGTACCCTCGACTTTCGAAACCTGTCGGTCGATCCCGTCGATCTCCCGTCGTCTCTTCCCGCCTCGTCCGGTCATGTTCCTATATTCCTATCGATCGAACCTGGTAGCTGTGGGAAACACACGCTGTCGTGGCTCGGTCACAGTACTCAAGACAGGTCCCCGGCTGGAGACAGCGGTCACCTTTCTGCGGAGTGAGTCTACCGCCGGAGCAGGAACGACCGCAACTGCGTGCTCCTCACGCAAAAGAAAAGAAGAAGGAAGGCCTTCTTCAATGAATGCGACGGAAGGCAGCACATCAGACTCGGCTCCACGCCGCTGCTTGCGTGGCATGCCGTACGCCGGTGTCCGCAACCTCGAGAGAAAAGCGTTCCTTCGCCTAGGAGGCCGGATTTCGAAGGAACCGTCTCACGCCTTCGGATGCATTCGTTCCGGTCGCACGGACTGCAGTTCTGGGCCGTGTTCTCGAGCTCGACGGACCGGTAGCCTTGTGTGGAAGAATCCGGGCCGATGCTGTGACGCATAGCGCCCGCCGGAGGAATCTCGGAAGGGGTGTCCGGAAGTGGTATCGGAAGTCGCGGGGTTCTCGGAAGTCACTCTAATCCGCCGTACTTCCTTCCGATGCAACATAATGCGAACAGGCGGCCGAAGCATCGAGACATGACGTTACACAAGACGGCCAGAAATGGCGAGCCAACGGGGCGCATCGGAAGTGGATAAGATACGAGACAAAATTAGCGACCGACAGCCGCGAGCAAGGAAAAGAAAGCAGAAAAGAATGGAAAAGAAAGGAAAAGAAAGGGTTCTTCTAATCTGTTCTTCTAATCGAGAACGTTAGCGACGCAATCGCGAGTCGTGATGATGATTAGGTTTCTACTAGCGGGAACCTGCTCCTGCAGCCCGCAACCAGACACAACCGAAATAGCGAGAATCTAAATGATTTGGAGGGCAGTACGATCCGGGGCGCTAATCCTCTTCGCGATTTCATGGCTCAGAAAGGGTACTTAGACTTAGACTTAGTGCAGGGGGGGTGGGGGGGCCGTAATCGATTCGGCCCACCGGCTTCGTCCGCAGCAGCCCGCGCCTGATCCAGGCGAGGTCGGTACGACCGCGCCGACTGACAGACAGCGGTGCGCTCTGGCGCGACCACTCGGCCTGATGATGGATGGAAGGATGGATGGATGGAGTCCGGGACGTGAATAATCTGCGGCTGGGCCTTTCCGGACGGGGGCCGCAACGCAAGTGCGGAAGTGATTAATTTCCCGGGGCCTTCATTCCTCTCGTTGGACTGCAAGATTCGGCTTTTTCTAGTGGAACAGAACCTTCCGCACGTTTTCGTGCGCCAATTGTACACGTTTTATTCTCGGGCCCGTAAAATATAATAAACGGTCTTCTCCGAGTCAGGAAGGAGTAACTGTCATCCTTCGGTGCGATCCGTTTTTTGCATTGGGCTTGACTTTCTGGCGGGGCACAGGACAACGTTTGTCCCCAGACTAGGCGTGACAGTGCCCGTGCATCATTACGCTAGCGCTCACTTTCGAACGAGGTGACGCGCCTGCTAGCGCCATGTAGCGCGGGGGCTACAGCGAGCCCCAGGCCGGGCCATGCCATACGGACGCGAACATACTACGGTGGCAGTACCGCACCGTCCTTCGGTCCGGCCATTGGCCTCACGCAGTTGCAGTCGGACGACAGTCATGTGACTGACCGGACGGCTCGGAAAAGCGAGCGCTTTGTCCATCGCCGCTCCGCCGGTGAGCTCCCGCCGATTCTCTGGGATCCGAGGTGGAGGATGACGACAAACGAACGCCGCCATCCCATTATCTATCGAGGCACGTCGGATTGCTGCGACCGGAAATGCGTGCATCCAGTGCGACATTAAACCGGTTGGCACCTCGCCGTGTTCCGGGTCGACGAGCGAGCGCCGCAGAACCAAGAGCCCGGAGCAGGAACTCGCAACCACCATCCGTCCGTCGTCACGGGCCACCACGTTCGCATGAGAGAATGGCTGCACCAGAGGACGGGCGCCGGAGGTCAGAGACTGCGGGGAATGACCGGCGCCGGGATCGGACGTGCCTGCGGGACTGCCTCCTCGGACGTCCGTATGCCGGGCTGGAACACGAATGACCTGGGGGTCCGGTGAGCCTACGGGGCAAGATCACCGCGCAGCAATTGTGGATGATGGGGGGGAGGGCAGGCGAGGGGAGGGAGGACAGGGTACACGAAAAGGCAGGGAGAGGGACCGGTGGATAACCCGAGCTACGGTCCGTGAGCGCGGGGGGAGCGGGGGGAGCGGCTGGGGGCGCGCAGCAGCTACCGTAGTAGCGAACTAGAGCGTACGTAGGCAAGTTGTCGAACTGTGGAGGCGACCCACGGACTCCGCTGCAGTTTAGCGGATCGCGTGGATCGTTAGTGGTTGGGCTGGAGGCGGTGGGATTGGAATGTGGGACTAGCACTGTGGAGGGACAGGCAGTCCTGTAGAGGTACGGTGCCGTAGGTAGAGGATATATGCATAACGTATGGCGCACAATAGCAAGGGTCCTCCGGCGCGGGGCGGGGCGGGGCCGGGCAGGGCAGCGGAGGGCTGCTTGCAGGGAGGCGATGAATCAATCCGTCGGGATTTTGTCGATGGCGGCGGGAAGGGTTCAGAGACTGGCGAAGAACTAAAGAGCACGAGTGTCACGTGCGGCATGTGAGCCGACAGTCTAACTCACCACTGGCGACCTCGGAAGCGAGAGGAGGGGCAACACTTCTGCTGGCATGGTTCGGGGGAGGTTAGGTTAGGTTCCGTTCCTTTCCGTTCAGTTCAGTTCCGCTCTCCACTTGTGGGTTGGTTAGTCCGGGGGCCTCCGTAGAGGAACGACCGACGACAGGGCGAGAGTCGTCCTCTGCATCGTTCGCGTCGTCGCGAGGTTTATGGGGCCACGGCGGGAATACTTGGGGCTGTCATTGGGCATAGGCAACTGGGGTCCACGAACCGCGGTCCCGAAGTAGCGACCTCAGTCCGACGTCGCGCTCGGGTGGCCCTCAGAAGATGTGCGACCGGTGGAATTGGTTCCATGCTGTAAGGGTCGGGGCCGTCCGCGACCTCTGCTCTTCGCGACTCGGGAACCGCGGAAGGTAAGCACGGAGGGGGAGTCCCGAACGGAACTCTCCCGCGGGTTGGTCAAAGCGGGCATGTCGGATGTCGGGACTCCGACTCGCTGCCGGAGGCCGGGGAATTCGCGGGCAACGGATTGACGGCGGGGGCCCGAGAGAGTGTGACGGACTGCGGTCACAATCAGCCACTGGCCCACGCAGGGCCCGAGAGGGGGAAGAGAGAGCGACAGGGGAAGCGTGAGAAAAGGAGACGACCAGGGCCCGCAGGCCGGCAGAAAGGGCAGAGCCGGATGCTCTATTTATGAGCTCTGCTGCTGCCGCTGATGGTCAAGCAGTGCCATGTTGTTGGGAGCCGCAGAACTTCCAACCTTCGAGCCACCGAGTTGAGGGCAGTCGAGCGAGTCGAGAAAATCCAGTGCGCTTCGACGCGCGCAAGCTTGGGCTCATAGCCCAGCTTCTAAGTTGTGCTGCTCTGCTGGTGCTGCTGGGGGCTATTATCTTGGCCTCCTGGAACCTGCAGGGCTGCTGGCTATCCGTGCTGAGGCTGAAGCAGTCGAAAAGTGAGAAAAGTAGGCTGGGCCTGAAATTGCAGCAGTTGGTTGGAGGGAGGGTGCAACGTGCGTTTTGTTTTTTAGGTGGTGGAGAGGGGAGAGGGGAGAGGGGAGAGGGAGGGAGGGAGGGAGGGAGGGAGGAACAGTTGAGGAGGGAAAAGGGATGGACTCGGGGTCGTTCCCATAAGTAGTGCGAGCGGGGACGAGAGGAGGGAGAGAATCTGTCGAGGAGAATTGCGCAGGAGCGCAAGAGCCTGCCGGGTGTGGGTGGACTCTCCGACTCGGCTGGGCTGGTCGATGGCGGTCATAGCTCAGCCTCAGCTGATTATTAACTGTCACGAACAGAGGTCGAAGAAGGAAGGAGGAGCAGCAGCAGCAGCTACTGCTGGAGCCAGAGAATCGGCAGAGGCGAAATTACAGGACAAAGCTCTCGGGGATAAGACGGTCTGCGGCGGCGCTAACATGGACTCCAAGCTTGAGCAGTTGGACGATGTGGTCATGCAGCAGCAGCAGCAGCAGCAGCAGCAGGACGAGGAATCTCCGTTGTTCGAGGAGTGGAGGGAGAGGGAGAAACGTCACCTGGAATATCTGGAGAGAGTGACGAGCAATCCTGCCGAGGAGCAGGTGAAATTCCTCGAAAGAATCCTGCAGAAAAATGCCAACACCGCTTTCTTACAGCAGTGTAAACTAAACGGTGCCACCGATGTCGAGACTTTCCGACAGCGCGTGCCCTTGAATGAATACGATACTCTTCGACCCTACATCGAACGCATTATTGCAGGCGACAGTGCCCAGCTCTTGAGTGCAGATCCTGTCATCGAAATCCAGAGCAGGTAAAACGATGTCTCTCAGCAGGTCTCGACAGATTCTGTGTTCCATCCCCGTGCACATTTTATATAATCTCACAAATTTACACCGGCCATTATACATTCCATTTCTGTCCTCTCCAAGTTTTATCGCAGGAGCCTGACCACGCAAAACTGTCGTCTGACTTGAATGAATGTGCGCTCGTAGTCTACTTCTGTGAAGCGGAGGGTAACTGAAGAAGAGTGAACCACATGTCGTGTCATGTAGCTGTGATCACCTGATGAAACTGTGGGGAAATTTTATTGATGGATACAGCTCTGGAACGACGAGTGGAGATCCCAAACTATACCCTGTCACCGAAGAGGAGAAGAGTTTGAGAGCTCTCATCTGGACTCTCACGAGACCAGTTTTGAATCGGTACGAGACTCACTTCGCTTTCTGCACCCCCAAGTCCTGAGTCAAATTCGCTCCGGTCTTCACTTCAATTGTGTGCAATCAATCGGAGGTTCATTTCGCTGCCAGCCTTTGATATTCTCGGTGTCCTGGGGCGTTGGTCTCCGTCATCCGGCAGCGACGAAGTCTGTAGAGTCCTCGGTGTTCTCAAGCGCTCGTGCGCATTGTCGGGAGTGTCGAGGTCCTATTTCAAGCGGGCACCTCATCGTGCTCGTTCGTCTGGGTCTCCTAGGGAGCGCCGACATTGTGAAATCCAATTGCGTTCTGACGGTGAAATTCGTTGACATGGGTGGCTTCAGGATTATTCCAGGTCTGCACAAGGGCAAGTGCATGTTCTTTTACTACATTCCGCCCACAGTGGAAGTCATCGGCGAGTTGCCGAGGTTCACGGCCGTGTCGAGTTTCATCAAGAGCGATTGGTTCCAGAAGAGGCCCTTCGATCCCTCGTACAGGCTCACGAGCCCGCACGCAGTCATAGAGGCCAGCACGCTAGACGAGGCGTATTACTGCCATCTGATCCTCGGGCTGGTGCAGCGCGAGGAGGTGCTGCGGATGGGGGCCATATTCTCGTCGGGATTCGTCAAAGGCATCCGCAGTTTGGAAGAATGGTGGCCGGAGATTTGCGACGACATCGAGAAGGGGACTCTGAGCGAGAGGAGGGTCCATAGCAGCGCAGTGAGGGAGTCCGTGCTCGCTTACCTGCGCCCGGATCCGACCCAGGCAGAAGCCATTCGCAAGGTGTGCAGAGGTGGCTGGGACGGCGCCATCCGCAGGCTGTGGCCCAATGCGGTGGTGCTCGACACCATCTGCACCGGGACCATGGAGGCCTACACGCCCACTCTGAACTACTACAGCGACGGCCTGCCCGTCATCTGCACGCAGCTCTACGCCTCCACCGAGGGCTACTTCGGCCTCAACATGAGCCCCGCCTGCCACCCCGACGAAATTTACTACACGCTGCTGCCCACCATGGCCTACTACGAATTCATCCCCGCCTCGGATGACACCCGCAAGGACAGCCTCGACCACGAGATTCTGGACCTCGCCAGCGTCGAACTCGGCCAGGAGTACGAAATTCTCGTCACCACCGTGTCCGGTAACTCCCGCATGCTCGCCCCTCCCTTTGCCTGTCGATGAATTCCTTCAATTTGCTCCAGCGAGGGATAGGATTTTCCAGTGATCGCGGGAGGTGAATCTGATCGAGAGAGGGACTCGGTGTGCCAGGCTTGTACCGGTACAGGGTCGGAGACGTGCTCAAAGTGATGGGTTTCTACAACAAGACGCCGATGATGCAATTCATGCGACGGAGGAACACGGTGCTGTCGATCGATACCGACAAGACCGACGAGAAGGAGCTGAACTTGTGCGTGACGCGAGGAATGAAGTTGCTGGAGAGCCTGGGGCTGCGGTTGCATGACTTCACCAGCTTGTCGGACGTGGACTCCAGTCCGGGGCACTACGTGATCTTCATGGAGCTCGTGTCCAGCGATTCGGCCTCGGGACTCATCTCCACGGACCTTCTGGAGCAGTGCTGCGAGCTCATGGATGGGGGAATGAATTCCATCTACCTCAAGCATCGAGCTAATGAGAACATCGGCCCGCTGGAGCTGCGAATCGTCAAGCCCGGAACGTTCGACGCGCTCGCCGAGCTCGCCTACTGCCGAGGCTCATCCCCGGCGCAATACAAGACGCCCCGAGGCTTGTCCCTGCTGAAACACGCAGCCCAACTCGGCATCCTCAATTCCCACGTCGTGCAGAATGCCTTCAGCCGAATCGCTCCTCCGCTCCCTCATCCCATAGGATCGTCGCTGCCTGCGGCCCACCGTACTTTCACCGGCCGAGTGCCCTCGACGCCCCCAGAAATGCTCCCCTCGCCCAAGGCATTGCCCACTTGAGCATTGCACAGGTTGGAACCTGTCATGACGACCTCCGAAAGTGAACCCAGTGCAGGAGCGAAGCTGAGAGATAATTGACGGAGGAAACTTGCCCGATCCACTTTAGTTGCATTGCAGAACCCCTTGATCACGGACATGATGTAGAACTCGAGCACCCACCAACGACGAGAGAGAGAGAGAGAGAAAGAGAAAGAAAGAGGACAGAGAGATTGAAGAATGCGACCTGCTGAGTCCACTCTGAGTTCTCGATCCTGGGTCAAGGGCATAATCTCTTAGAACACGAGCACCTCCGCGTCCTCACATTCCCTCCATTCGTCAGTCACATCCAGTCCCATCCACACATCACAGCATCTTTTTCCACCCCGACTCTCGACTCCCGACTCCCGTCTCTCTTCTACCTGGAGCACGGCGCTGGAGGTCCACTCCACGCCTGTGCTCTGCCTCCTTCGTTCCACCCGGATGCAAAGAGCCCTGACAACAATTTTGCCATGATCGGTGGACGGTGTCGTTTACGCATGCGATATAATCCTAGACCCCCTCTCGAAGACCTGGAAGATTCATTCTTGAAGTCCATCCCAATTGGTGAGTGACTGGTATTGTATTTGAACTCGGTCGGACTAACCCGGCAGTCCGACCGACCGTCATCTGATGGTATGACCTTAGCAGCAAGCAACCTCTTACTGTAGGGCCTGTCGGAGCACGTTGTATACATTGTAATTCTACTCGGAAATTCTCTTGATATCTCCTCGAGATCTATGATTAGTCCCGGGGCCTTGTCTCCGTTCTCCCTACATCTGTCAATAAAGCTCGGGAACTTGCAAATTGGAGCAGTACGTACGACGGCAAAGCAGCAAGCACACGTTGTTGAGCAGTGTGATGGATGGCCGGCCTTCAGCCTCCCGTCAAGAATTTCCAGAGAATTCCTGTAAAGCACTCGCCCACCCAAGTCCTCCGAACCATTTTGCCCGAGACGTCTGCAGTCTGATACATAGTATGCTATCCGAGAACTTGTACGCCGGCATCAAATCCCCCATTGATGCCCATAATACTTACCTATTCACTTACTTACGATAACTGCGGAAGGGAGGGAGCTCCTACTCAGGCTCCGATACTCTCCCATTGTTGGTTGGTTAGAACAACGACGATGCCTATGAGACTTCACACCCTCACTCAAATTCGTGAGCTGCACAGTCCTCTCATCTTAAGAGCACTTGCTCTTCAGAGCTTGGCCTGAGATGGCACAAATAAGATCTGGCTCGACGCTGTCCATCCATGCACGTACTCTTCTCTACTGCAACGGCATTCTCGGCTCTATCGGTTGCATCAATCTTTAGCAGTTCGTGCGTGAGAGTGTCGAGTCGCAATCATTCAGAACTGTGTCTAGAGTGAACCATCTCGTAGAGGGATCCAGTGTCTAGAGCTAGAGCAGTACGATAGTTTTTTTCATGTAACACCCCTAGTAAAGCTCGATACAGACGAGCGGGCAGATCGGTGTGTCACCTCAAAGCCGATACAGAGTTGTTTGTTTGATTTGTCAGAGATCCCGTAGAAATTGAAGTTTGGTTGTTCTGTGATTAGGTGTGTCGGCTTGAATGCACTACAGGGCTGAACTGACGGGGCAGACTGTACCAAGCCCATCCAAATTGTCAAAAGCTACTATTTCAATGGCAACAAATCTTGGTAACATCAGATTGCATGTATGCTAGCGCAAGCTCTGTCGAAAAGATTCCACCGTGCTCCACACTAATCAAGACACATGCGAGATTCGGCTTCTTCTTAATATGGCACTGCAGTTGTAGCAAATTAGACCTGAACCGGATCTTCCGAGGAGGATATGCTCGCAGAAAAGGGAAATCGTTTCCGCCCATTCGTCTCACACCAACCGAGAAACTTGTGCCGCTCGGCCCATGAAGTCGGGGTCTCCAAGTGGTGGCAAAACCTTAAGAGCGAACGGGCTCGGCCGATCCCAATTGCTGAATCCTCGGCTCACCAGGCACCGACAGTGTCGTAGAAATTGTGCGGGAGAGTGTTCCAGGTGGCTCCCAACACTCTCATAGGAAGGCCTATCCTCTGGGGGCCAGCTAACCCGGCACAATTCCACCCGAACGAAGCCAGGGGAACGAACCGTTGAGAACCAATAACATTGAGCCTCGGAGCCCAGAACCCGAGAAACGCCTGAAAGGACCCCCGGCTCCCCTCCCTTCGCAACAGATCCGAGCCAAACCAGATTCTCCGAGCGGAAAAGGAACGGCTATCCGCTGGTACCGTCGCGCAGGCCCCGACTTTTGCGGAGACATTGAGGCCATCGGTTCGAATTGGAGCTTCTCATTATCCACAAAGCCCCAGAAATTGAATTCATCCGAGGAAGGTGCTCTGGGCAGGGCAGGGGAGGGCAGGCAGGGCAGCTGCAGGACGTTTCACCTGCAATAGATTCTCTCGGACCCGGACCAGGGAACCAGGAGGGCCAAAGGCCCCAACCCAGGACTGCAAAAGGAGCGACGCCCTTATCGAGTCCGCCTCGCCTTCGGACATGCGACTTTGGACGCTTGCGCAAACCGGCGCCCCGACTCTTGCCTCGGATCAGCGTCGCCGCGTATCGGCACCGCGACAGCTGGGCTCTGGCACCCAACCCAGCCTTTGGGGCCGGGTGCCGGAACTCGACCTCGTGGGCGGCTGGCTGACTCGCTGGCTGGCTGCCCCGTCTGCCCCGTCTGCCCCTCTGCCCCTCTGGCGCCTGGCCTGGCCTGGCCTGGCTCCTCCGGCCGGCCGGCTGGCTGGCTGGCTGGCGTTATCCGTCTCTCCTTCTGTCGCGCGACCGAACTGACGCGGCGCGACGAGACGCAAGACAGATGCGACGAGGTCGTGCGGGACTGCGGGACCGGGGTCAGAGCCGGATGCTTGTCCTGCTCCTTGACTCGGTTGCCCTGTGAGCGCCTACTGCCGACGACCAACGGAAAGTACAGTACGCGACAGCAGGAACTACAAAAGGGAACTGCTTGCTTCTGTCGTCGAGGACCGACCTACCGTGACCTAACTTCCACGCTCGTCGTTTTCCTGGTGCCACGTCACCGCGCTCATTATGGATTGGCCCCTGGGCCCTGCCTGCCCTGCCTGCCCGCTTGCTTTGTGGTTGTGGCAAGGGGCGTTTTAGTGCCGTTCGCAGTGTGTTGTGTCCACTCGAGAGCTCCTTGACTCGAGTACATCGGTGGCTCATTTTTCCCACACTTATTTCACTCATCCGTTCGATGATGATTCGTCCTCTGCGGGTATTTGCACCTTGTTTTCCTTGTGCGCTTTCCATTCCATCCTGACTCGCCTGTTTCTTTACATTTTCCGTTCAGGTGTATCTTGAAACCCAGAGAGAGAACCCAACTCTGGAATCGATATTCTGACCATGTGCATCACTCCTCAGTCCCATTGTCAGGACAATAATCTATAATGGCTCGCAATTCCCAGTGACGTCGATCTTGTTCATGAATTTGTTGCGTTGTACTCTCGAGGTCGCATCTATCCATTTTACGCTGCCCCGATATTATTTCACCAATTTTGTCTTATTTGTCACAGTACATCACTTCATATATATATATATATATATACTCTTATCACTACTTTCATTTCCACCGATAGTATTAAAATCATACGGCATGAGGGATATTACAATAAAAGAAAACAAGATTGCATACAATCCACTCGAATAGATAAACTGATGGAAGCAAGCAAGGTCCAGCATTTCAAATAGCCTCTACTTAAACTCGGAAGTCATTTTTCATCTAAGGTTGATCCCTTATTTGTACAGTATCCTCTAATGACATCTACACATTTCTTCCTGCATCTAGAACAGACGGTGAGTGTGAAAGAAGTAGTACTCAAATATTTATATAAAAGCTCTAACCATAAATGATAGCTAGATGCTGAATCTTGCACTTACATTCATGCATCTCCAGCCCTTGGATCAAGTTGCTTGATTCGTCTCACCATGTAAACTTATAAAGTATATATACTCATAATATACTTTATAAATTTACTTGCTATTCATAAACACTACGCATTATAGGCTGGAAATCAAACAAATAATTGTGTAAATCATGGAAAATAGGGTGTGATAATATTACATTCTCTAAATTGCATACATCGGGGTTCAGAAAATCTATGACACAGATAAAGATATTGACTGCGTCATGTTCACTTCTGTAATTTCTTATTTAGAGTATGGTTTGATTTAGTAACATATCCACGTCAAGACAATGATTACGCTAAGTCAAAATACCTGTAGAGAATATTCTAATCGCAGAGTTATTGTATACATTATTCGAAATGGAGGGACAATCACCCTAAGTTAAAATACCGGTTGAGGATATTCTAATCGCAGAGTTATTGTATACATTATTCGAAATGGAGGGACAATCACCCTAAGTTAAAATACCGGTTGAGGATATTCTAATCGCAGAGTTATTGTAAAAATTATTCAAAATGGAGGGACAATCACACTAAGTTAAAATACCGGTTGAGGATATTCTAATCGCAGAGTTATTTTATACTTTATTTGAAATGGAGGAACTGATCATTATGAAATGCAAACGTTTTGAGACCAAAGAAATTTCCTTAAGCGTCACTTATTTCAGCCTCTCTAGTTGTGAATCACAAATATACTTGAAATCTAGATTTCATTGATTCGATGAAAAGTATGATCGTTCTGGATATTTAAATTGACTTAGTTAAAGTTTTACATATTCCTGATTGAAGTATTTTGAAATTTTTATAAAGATAAAACATGTACCATATATAGCTACTTATTACTTAGCCAATCTGAGAACAAATGATAAGATAAGTATTAACATTATAGAGGAGATAACTTTGATGTTGAAGGAAAGTTCCTAAATATGTTCATCACATATTTTTATATATACAAAAAATATTTGTCGTTTTACAAAAATTTTGAGTACATAAATAAATAAACATCAATGCAAGCTCAATTGATTGATGTTGGTTGCAATTTGCATTGATGCTCACAATCATCACAATCTTCTTCTATTTGTGTAAAGTATATAAGAAAAAGGAACATAAGTAATATTCAAAGAAAAATATAAATATAAAATAATTTTATAGATAAAAAATATTATTTATTCATAAAAATATTATTTAATTATTTTTTATAAGAAATAGAATAGTTGATTTATTGATATAACATGAGTGTAGAAAGATCATAATCTGTTATGTTGAGTTGACCTTAATCCTTTTATCTAATTACAAGTAACGATTTTACAACACTAATCAAAACAAAAATTCCAGAAATCAAATTATTTCATTATTATTCAAATAAAGTATTAATGAGCAAAAAATCATAAATTCTAATTTTCATATACACAGCGAAATTTACATTCATACGAATTTCAATTTCATTCAAGTTTTGAATTTTTTTTGTCAGTTTGTGAATTTTGAATAAATTAAATAGATCAATATACATGAATATTTACATGTTTGTAAGAGAGCTTACAATAGTAGTAATTTATTTGTTTTTAATGTATGGTATATCATACTTTAGAGTAATGCTATTGCTATGCATAGAACAGTAGTAAATGTTATGAAAAAAAAATTATTACTTAAGTTATTATGACCATTATAATTTATTACTTTTTCATCAGCACGTCATTTCACGAAACACTTAAATTATTTTTTATAATAAACAGGTATGTTTGTATAATATTACTTCTTATTCCAAGAATTTTATTTGCATCATTTTATATTTTTAAAAGATATTGAAAGATCTGATTATTTAACTCTTATAAAATTACTTCTCAGAAAATTCTAATGACTACAAACAGTAATTCAATAGTAAAAAATCCTTTGAAGTAAGTTGTAAATAAATTTATGATAATAATATTATAATTTTTTCAATAGATATGACAATAATATAAGCAACATGTAAATTTTTACAGGTGAAAAAAAGAAAACTCTTCTAAAATTGAATAATTTCTCCATGATCTATACTTTTTTTAAAATGCAATTGGAAAATAAAAATAAAAAACAATTTTTTTTGTAATATGATAATTTCAAATAAAATTTATAAGATAATGATTGTTATAATCATAGTAAATTTTATTTGTAACGTATTCAATAATATATAGAAATTCAAATATAAATTTGATTGTTGTTCTTTTTCTATATTTTGTTGATTATCTCTATTACATTAGACCATTTTTCATTTAGTGACAAAGCAAAATAAATCACAAAAGTAAACCATAAACTAATCATTTTGAGGTGTAATTCAAAATTTGTTACATTCTTATCTACAATTCTATATCCATAAAATTCAAAACTAAATTTTTTTTGTAGGGAGCGTCTAGTTATAACTTAGTTTATGCTTACGATCCTTCACCCTACAAAAATGGGTGTGTTGCGTTGACAACTTTCATGGACAATCAATTTATTATAGAGGGAACACACACGATCGAGTCTCTTCATAGTTATATTTTTCTTGTTACCAATCCTTAGTCTATACGTAATCAGGATAACGTAGATTTAACTCAATGCGTAACCTTGCATAACCGATAACACAACTATCAATGTTGCATGGAAGATCTCTAGCAGTGGAGCGAGCGTCTTCATTTTATAGTGAGATACCTTGGACCAATCACAAACCTCCTTCAAGCACTTTATATCATTTTCGTAGGATGAGTTATAGTTAGCATAAATTGAGGGATGATTAGACGCTCGCTTTTTTATTCTATTATTTCAATAAATGATGTAGATAATTCTAATACCATATAATATTTTTAATTTTGTTCTATATTAAAAAATTATTAAAAAATTATATTTATTTCATATTTCAAATGTATGAAAAATATTATTCTATTAAGAAATTATTGATTTGGAATTTATTAAAATTTTTGGATAATATATTTAAGAAATATAAAAAATTTGTGTTTTAAGAAAAAGATACTATGTCGTGCGAATACATATCGCCATACACTCTACATCGCTGACATGCTACTCACATACACATACGCACACACATACACACATATAAGGCGCGAGAGAGTACACACTCAAATGTCACAACTGAAATATACGGGAAATTCCCCACTGGAATTCCCGTCGGTCAATTACCCTACTGGCAACAAACCGTCACTGTCACAAACATGAGTCGAGCCCAACCCACTCCACACTCGGAGAATCCAGGTCGACGCAAAGGGGAAAGTCACTCTACGCTCCCAACGCTTCCAGGCTCGACTCGAAGAACTGACGTTCTTCGAGCCGTCCCCGACTGTATACCCCTCGTGACCGGAACCCTAACTTTACGGCTAAATTTTAGTAAGTGTCTGAACTTCGTGAGCCGACTCGTAACTACATGACAGCTGTCGTGCGAATACATATCGCCATACACTCTACATCGCTGACATGCTACTCACATACACATACGCACACACATACACACATATAAGGCGCGAGAGAGTACACACTCAAATGTCACAACTCGCCCCCCTAGCTGGCGGTCAGGTCCCTCTGACTCCCAGGTAGCCCCATCTACAACTACATGCTATACACCGTCGTGGGTGCGCGAACCAGTAGGCCGGGTGCTATGTCGCCCCATCGTTAGTCGCCTATCTGCAATTCATAACATGTGAAGATCAAGTCATCTACCCCTATGAAGTACATCGAGGACAAACCCATCGTCCAGCCGGAATAACATCGATAGGCGGAGTTAGGCACGACATGTGCCATCCCCTAGAGCACCTATCACACACCAACATACGGGCCGCCTGACCAGCCGACCCACACAGCATGCACCTCAAGCTAGCACGTACTATCGCTGAGCTTGGGTCCATAGTGCCATCTACGTTTGGGAGGTGGCATGGCGCACAATTGCGCACATGATCCTTCCAAACAACGCCGTCACGACCCTCCAACAGGAGAACTCCAGAAGGTAATACCTCCCGCACCCGCAAGATGGTGCGTCCCGCCGTCACATCCAATGTCGTCGGTGCAATCTGCTGTAGATAGACGTAGTCTCCCACATGGAACCTACGAATTGATGGTCGATAACCTCCTCCCCGAATGGTTGCATACCGCAACGTATCTCTATGTTGAGCAATCGCAAGATTCTCAAACGCTGCAGGCATAACTCTCCGAAAGAGCTCTGCACGTTGAGAACATACTCTCACCCACATATTCGGGTCATCAAGGTTCACCACCTCGCTAGACTCACGACGAATCGATGTTGGCAAGTCTGGATCTCGG